ATGTAGAGAAGTCCAGTGAGATTTTTACTGCTTACAGTTGTGGGGAACAGAGTTCTTACGGCAACCGGTCTTGTCATTTCGCATCCTCGGAGTTCTCTTGCTCAGCTGAGGCTTTTCCCTCAGCACCTCCTGAGAGCCTCGCATCTTGTTCTCGTCTCATCTTGCATTCCAGCCCTAGCTTGCTAGCTGCGCAGGGATGAGATTCACCATCCCTAATCAGCCATGAAACATTCATAACAGTCTCAGACTTATTGTCTCTCAAAGCTCTGCTTTGCTTCTTCAGTCTCTGTTCCTCCTATAGAAAATGGTAATTCTACTCAGGCGTGTGTGTGTGCGTGCGTGTGTGTGTGTGGCCCTCAAGGAGGCTCTGGACTGGTGGGCGGGCATCTGATTGGCACAGAAACCTTATGCATGATAATTTGTTGCTGCAGTCATCTCCCAGGAGGCTGGTGGGTGGACTAGAATTAGGCAAATGCTTTATTCCGTCTGCTCCATTACGTTACTGGGAAAGTGTGTTCTTCATGGTACAAGCTGGATGCCCCAGCTTCTTCCCTGCACCCCGTGGAAAAGTCTCCAGAGGGGGCAGCACTGGTCTGGTGAACAGGTAATTCTGCAGGTGTTTCATTCAGTCTTTCCCCAGCAGGTTGAAATACTGGTGAAGACAGCCATCCAGAAGAGACGATGGGCACCCAGGAGTGCCCCCGGTTGAAGAGGGATGTATGGAAAGACTCAGAAGCACCCCAGGGGTGAAGGAGGAGAGCATGAAAGTGGCGGCAGGTGGGACTGGGCAAAAAGCAGCATGTTTTGCTTAAAGCTCTTCGTGTGAGTAACTTTGGGGGTTGTATGCTCCCTCCCTCACCTGAGGTGGCGCACTGCACACCCCAGTTGCTGAGGGGCTTGGGCAGGAGGAGGTCTTGCACCTGTCCCGATGGAGGGATCCTGTGGTTTGAAGGACCTTGGGTTCGATACAGCAAAGCTTTTCTTATCTTCTTACGCTCTTATCTAAGCTTTAGGCAAGGTATTTCAGCCTTTGAAAATGAGAGGGGGGAGAATGCAAACATCAGGAAACCACAACATGATGGCCAGTGGAAGAGAATGGTGGGGCCGCGAAGCCCAGAAGGCCAGCATGGATTCCAGGTGGCCCAGATTGGGTCTGCTGCCCTTAAGCAGACTGGGGCATTTAGACTCAAAGCAACATGCCTACCTTATGACAGTACCAAAAATCTATCTCTTCGGGTTCTCACAAAGATGGTTGAAATCAAGTTAATAAACGGCTTGGGTCCTGGTTACCTGAAGGAGCGCTTACATCCATATATGCCCGCCCGCCCCTTGAGATCTGCGGGAGAGGCCCTTCTCCAGGAACCCTCCGTGAAAGAAATTAGGAGGGTGGGTACTCGGAGGAGGGCTTTCTCTGCGGTGGCGCCCAATCTATGGCATGCGCTCCCCAGAGAGGTCCGCCTGGTGCCGTCACTATTTGTTTTTCGGCGCCAGGCGAAGACCTTTTTATTTAAGTGTCATTTTAATTGTTAACAATATTTACTTATTTATCTGGCCAGGGTGACTTATTTTATATTGTTACTTATTTTATATTGTTATTTTTTGTATTTTAACTTTATGTTGTGAGCTGCCCCAAGGCTTTGGCGAATGGGGTGGCATAGAAATGTTTTAATAAATAAATAAATAAATAATAGTAAGCCCATAAAATGTAAAACACTAGCCTGGAGAGGAGAGTTCTGTTTGACTCCTTGCTCGGTCGTGAAGCTGTGAATGTGTAGTTGTGACTCAGTCTGATCTACCCCACAGGACAAGTTGTGAAGAAAAGATGGACTAGTTCAACATATGACTGATTGTATGAATCTTTGTAACATAATTCGAGATTCTAGGAAGAATTATAACAGTGCCTTGAATTATTTGAGGAGGGAAGTTGAGAAGCAAAATTATAATGCTGTGGTTGGATACGGACTAGCAGTGCAATCCTATTTATGTCTTCCCAGAAGTAAGACCTATTGCAATTATTCCCTGGAAGCTGGCATATATCAGACGGGAATGTTGGATAGCTGCTTGAAGTTCCCATGAAAAGATCAATGGGTGAAGTCCATTCAAGCCACTCCACCAACAGAAGACTACCATCAGTGGAATGGGGAGAGGTGAATCCCCAGATCCTTCAGTTCTCCGGGACCCCCCCCCCCAAAATCTGCTCCAGAGGATTGGGGACCCTCTGGATGCAGAGGGAAGGAGGGAGATCGAGAGAAGATCCATGAGTTGGACACAGAACCCTGTTGGCTTCAGCAGTATCTAGCTCACCTCAGTGCTTTCCAACAGGTTAAAGTTGACATAACTTAGCCAGATCCATCCAATCCCTTTGAAATTCAGGTGGGCAACCTAAGGGCCCTTTGGTAATGAACTGGATTAAGTACAACATGCCTTTTGCCTTGCGGATGAACAAGGGAGGTGAGCAGTTTCCCTTCTTTGTTCATATTTTTACAGCTATTTTCAGCCATTCTTTAAGAAATGCCAAGGGAATGCTCCTTCCATCCCTCAGCGCCCGTCATATTTCACGTGAACAGCAAATACCCACAGCTACAGCATGGCCATGGTGTTCAGAGCCCAACAGCAAGAGACACGTTCTACAAAACATAGAAACATCAGCAGCTTAGAGTCATAGAGCAGATAGAAAGTGTTCCAATTACCAACAGCACAACACACACAAGAAAACATCATCTTGTCAAACCAGTTAGAGGAAATAGTTCCATAAGAAGTCTGTACAGTCAAAGGCAAGAGGAAAGGTCAAAGTTCCTTCTTCCTGTTTGGATTCACTTCTGCCAAACTGTGTTTTGAGAGTCTCCTTTCTTTAAAGCAATAAAAAATCCCTTTTCCCTGCAGGCACAGGAAGGAAAGTTACCTTTTTCTCAGGCACATTAAGAGCTTATGTCACACGTAAACGCATTTAATTCAGTTTTGATGACCACTTTGAGTCCAGAAAAGCAGCAATGGGAGAGGGCAGGTTTAAGCAGAGAAACTGGGGGTGAGGCATAATCCTTCCCTGGTCCACAGCTCCCCTCCCCCCAGAAATGCCCTTATCTGATCGCCTCCTCTGGATAGGGAGTTCTAGAGACACATGTTTTACCATGCAAAAAGGTGCAGGACCCACATGGGGGAAAGTGCAGCGTGTGGGGACAGGAGACAGATCGGAGGGGGGGAATGTATGACAGCAGGGAAAATGTTAAGCTCCCGATGCTGGAACAGTGACCAGGAGGTGGACGAAGCCACTGAGCGACAGCCGAGAGAGAGAGGAATGTGGCGTCTTTGCCCATGGGCAGCTCTTGGAGGCAGCCTGCCAACATTCCTGGGGAATGACATCACTGCTCTGTGACATCACTGGCCGATGGCATCATGGCCTGCCTGCCTGCCTGGGTACAGGGACAAGGCTGCCCTCTCTCTTTGCTCAGATGCAGTTGTCAGAACCTCCCACTGCTGCCCCAATTTTCTTAAAGCTCTCACAGTTCGTGCGTCTGATTCTACCTGTGCTTGGTTTATTGGTCAGGAAGCTGCGTGGTTCCCGCTTGAATCCAGGCAAACAAATCTCACCATCTCCCTTTCCTTTAAAGCAACTCGTTCATTAAAATATGCAAAATGTGTTGTTTTATGAAAGGAAGAAGGCTGGTGGGAAACACGGAACTTCCTTGCACAGGGACAGTCTATCTCTAAATACCAACAGACCAAAGCAGGAAGGACCACTGAGCATTGGCTGGAGGAACTGGTGGAATCCACCATGGCAGCAATTCCCATGAATTCTTCTGAGTCAAGCAGTATCTTGAGGTTCCCAGCCCCTGACCATGATGAACTCGAAACATTCGTTCTTTCCAACGCTGAGATGCTTGAATTGGTTTAATTGACTAAATGCCTCATCTCAGGTCTCCATCAGGAGACCTGACTAGAATCCACATTGCAAAATAAAAGGGCAATTAGATTTCAGCAGCAATGAGCACCCGCTTCTACGCTGATGCTCCGTATGTATCAGGAAGAACAGCTGTCTCAGTTTAACGTAAGAGAAAACAGGGAGTGAGGGAGCAAGTCCATCTCTTAATTTTCTGTTCCTCCTTTAGTTGCTGCTTGAACTGATGCTTTGTGTCCCCAGTTTTACATGGCTGCAGTTGCTGGATTGCGTAAAATCTTCCAGCGTGCATTAATCCAAGTGCTGAGCATTTGTCTTGGTGCGGCTGCTTGGAGTAGGCATTTTTAGAAGAGAGGAAGCTGGTGCATGAGGATATTGTTTTTACTTTTTAATGCACCGGATTGTGCGCAACTTTCCACTAGCACATGAGTCTTGACTCTGCTCCAGTGCATGCGTCCACCAAAGGCCGCCATCTTCAGATGGTCCAAGAAAAGTATGATGAAAACCTTCTAGGCCTCCACTGTCCAGAGGCAGAAGTCTGTGGTGCTGGGCCAGCCATTCCATTCCTACAAAAGAATTGTGGGAATTGTTTCCTTCTTAGTACGGTTGCATGCTTCAGCCCCAGTGGACCTCCAGTTTTGGAGTGCATCAAAGGACAAAAGGCAAAGACAAGAAAGCACGTGATGGTTTTCCAGTTTATACCATCTGATGGCCTCTTGAAGCAACTCAATGTGATGAATATTCTCCATCCCTCAGCCTCCAACTGGTGCGGTGGCAGCACTGGGTGCGGCCAATAGCAGCCAGGTTCAGCACAAACTCTCACTTGAAAATGCTTCACGCCTGCATGACAAAGCCAAGAGGACCCAAGAGCTAAATTATAACAGTCTTTAAAGAGAACACGCAGTGTCCCTCTGAAGGACAAAGGTTTGCTTCTCCACACTGTGGGAGAGATGCTGTGTTGGGCTTCTCCTCCCACCTCCCCATGAGTCTCCTATTCTGGGCCAAAGTAACTTGCGCTTTAAAGAGCTGTGATCTGCGTGAGCTCCGACGTGGGTGTTGTCGGGCTCTGCTGGCTGACAGGCACCATGGGGATTTCCACGCCTAGTCATGCCGGGTTGTTAGTCCCGTCTGAATTCTTGCAAGCGTAAGCCACATCTTTGGCGATGCTGCACATCCGGTTGGACATCTGCAGCTCTTTGCGAAAGGCAGAAGGGAAGCAGAATTTCTTGAAACAGGTCTTAAAGTTCTCGTCCAAGAAAGCATAGAGGACGGGGTTTAAGCAGCTGTTAGTATAACCCAGTGCTGTGCAAAAATACAGAATGGCGAGGCTGATCTCATTGTCAGCCTTCGCCCCGAGGCACCGGACCAGGACGAAGATGTGGACAGGGGTCCAGCAGATGATGAAGACGGCCACCACTACAAGAACCAGGCGCGCAATTCGACGGAGATTTCGGTCCTTCTCCTTGGATCCAGAGAGAACGCGGACATTCCTCAGCCGCCGGATCATGAGGCTGTAGCAAATGGTGATGACCATGACAGGGATCATGAAGGAGAAGAGGAAGATGCAGATGCCAAATATTGGATCCCAGTAATCCACAGGTTCGGGGAGTCTAATTAGGCAATCGATTTCTGCAGAGGCAAGAAATAAAGCAGATGGGCCTGAAAAAGAGATGTTACTAGCTACATCTTCAAGAAGGTACTGTGGAAACATTTGTAGTGTGCTCTCTCTCTCTCACGTGCTCTCTCTCATTCTCTTTATAGGGAAGCCCTATAAGCCACAAGCAAAATTTCCGCCCCTTAAGCAGGGGAGCAGGGACAAACCCATTAGCCCTCAGCATATCTCAATTGTGTATAATTAGCTAGGGTTTCTCCTGCACTCATTCAGGGCCACAGGACATCCTTGCAAAATGTTCTTTATCAACCAAAGCATTTTCCAGAAGCGCAGACACCCAGAAGGAATCTCGGAGCATGCACAGAGTGGTTCATTGAACCCAATCTAGTATTTACTTCTAGGAACTCTCCTTATGAGGATGTTTGGGCCCCATCCTTTCAGGAGGGGCCTTCTGGAAACAAGCACACCTCGTCTCTGCATGCCAGTCCTCTAACTGAGTGGCCGTCCTCTGCCAACGTCACATCAAGTGGTCGAGAGCGGTACCTGCCTCACCTGTCTCTGGGAAACTCCTCTATTCCAAGCCCCCTCCCAGAAACTGCATATCTTGGTCACTCTTCAAGGCTGCCTGGGCACTTGAGGGGTCTGGCCTTGAGATGCCTCTGCTTCTCTCATCTTGGCATCAGGAACTGGCCCACATTCAGACCCTCCCCCTCCCCCGCTCTTCCTCCTCTGAGGTCCAGCCAAGCATCCTTGAGAACGTGTAGCAAGAGCAACTGTCCTTCTCTCTCCCAACAGCTGCCATTCCTATCGCTCCCCGTGCATCGCGATCCAGATGTTTGCAGCTGTGAGTCTGTTCTCCTTGGCTCTCTCCAAGGAAGGAGAGCAAAGGAAGATCAGTGAGTTATGTCACATGGGGAGCCTGCTGCAAATGTTTTCCCTCTTCCCTCAAAAAGCAGAGACAATCACTTCATGCAAGAAGCTGGGCAGAAAATCCAGGATGTCTGTGAAAGATGCTGTGGCCAGGAAGAGAGGAAGGATGCCTGATGGTCAGAGAAGAGGTACCTTCCCTCCTCCGCCTTTGCCAACACCTTCCAAGGTTCTCCCAGCTACTTTTATGTGTAGCCCAGTGCCATCCTTCCTCTGACTCCCACAGTCTGGGATGACCTGGTCACTCCTCACTCTCAGAAAAAGAGAGAGCCAGTTCTAAGCCAACCATGGGGCAGTGATTTGCATTAAATCTGGCTGTACTAATTTAAATGCATAGAAGCACATCTGGACATCACTATAATTTGAACAGGGATATGGTACCTATCACCCTAGGCTGAAAGACTGGCCAGTTGACCTGGGTGCTCACCTGTTCACTCTGTTGTCCAGGTGCAAAGCATTGATGGGCAACAGTTTACAAATCCTTACCTTTAACCCCAAATGAGAAGGAAATTTCTTCAAATGGAAAAGAGCTTCCAATGGAGAACTGCAAAAGAGCAGATCTGACCTCTGCATAGGCTGTCCTGATAGCTGAACTGAGTCCTGCTGCTGGTGGGGTCCCTCATCCATTGCAGCTTTTCTTTTCAGCTTTATAGGAGTTACCCATGGTGCTGAACTCTACCCCCAAAATAGGTTCACCACCATGGAGCACCATGGATGCCCCCCATAAAGCTGACAAGAAAAGCTGCAGCAGATGAAGAGTCCAACTGGCCTCGGAGTCACCAGCCTCTTGTGGTTGCCAGGAAGGGGAGAAACAAGAGAAAGTCTCACCAGCGATCTTTCGGCTTGTTTACATTCTTTATCAAACCAGCTAGAAAATGCTTGAGTTTTTCTTGGGCCGTTATTCCTCCTTTTAAAACTCAACTGATCTTGCAAGCTATCAGAGTATTAAATAGGTTTATGGCTTCAGAAGCACAGCCTACAACATCCTATATTCTCAGGTGGTCTCCCATCCAAGTAGTAACCAGGCCTGACCCTGCTTAGCTTTCAAGATCAGACAAGTTCGGGAGTGTTCAGGGTAGTATGACTTTAGGCAAAACGCGAGAAAGTTTATATGGTTCTTTGCAATAAACATCATCCCGTTCCCATTCTTATCAATCTCCATCTCACTTCTATTACATTGACCTTTGGGAGCAAGAGCAGTGAAGGACTCAGTGTGTGTGTGTTTTGAAGGTTGTCTCTTTGTGGGTGTTCACTTCTGTGTCGCAAGAAACTGATCCTTTTAAAGGTGAATGTTGATGATCCCAGAAACAGTTAGTGAAGGCACAGAAATATTTATCTAATTATGACTCAGCTTTCCGCCCTTACATAAGCAGATGCAGAGAGCTTGATTTTGGAACCTACAAAGTTCTCCAGAACTTCAAGGTTCATGGGGGCATTCACTGAACACTTCCTGGGTTTAGGAAACTACTTATGAGAAATCCATCAAGTTTGGTGCTGCCTACAGCAGCCTCCCCAATCTTGGGTTCCTCCAAATGTTAATGCCTGCAGTTCGAGATGGGAGAGAATCTCATTCCTTATTAGAACATCCCAAATTCACAACATTTGTTCAGAAGGGGGATGGAAAGATCTCCATACAAAACAAAGGAGAAGAATTGGAATCTGGGAGACAGTGAAATTGAAAGATTCATCCTCCTTATGGAAGGATGGGTGAATGAGAGGCATTCAAGAGCACCTGGATTCTCCAAACGCCATCTCAGCTCTTGCCTCATGCCCAATTCCCTCTTGTGATTGCTGCTCACTTTGCACAAATAGGAAACTTGTGCAACTCAGAAGATCTAGTGGGAGGTTGGTGCAGAGCTCTGCACATTTGTGGAAATGTCTTCCATAAATTAAAGCAGGGCCAATCCAGTTTACCAAGGAAATTAAGAAATTTGGACAAATCAGACTAGGAATTAGGAACTAGACAAACACAAATGTGTGTTGGAACGTCTGCAAATGTTTTCAAGGCACACATGCCTGCATTGTGCTGAGCTTCAGACGGGGTATTTGTGAGCAAAAATGAGGTTCTTATGTATCCTTATCCCTGCCTGCAACTCCCATCATTCCTGGTCATTGGCCAGTGCCATTTGGGGAGGATAGGTGTTGTAGGCAACAGCAGGAAGAAGTCAGGCTAGGAAAGGCTGGTCTACACCAACTGGCTGTACCTCCCCGGGGGTTCAGACAGGGGTCTTTCCTACTGAGAGACCCCAGGGAAAGAAGCTAGGACCTTCCCAGATGAATGCTGACCTATGCCCCAAAACATACACCAGACAGACAGCGTGGCCCAGTGGCTAAAGCACTGGACCAGAATGGAGAGGTCCTGGTGTACATCTTCAAACTCAGCCATAGGTTGAATGACTGATCATTAGCCAATCAGTCTCTCTCGGCTGAATTTACTCCATGAACAAGCAAGGAGGGAAGGAGGACACACAGTCATTTAGGCTGCAGCTCACGCACACCAGCCCAGTGAGTTCAGTGGGGCTGATTTCTGAGCAAGCAGAGGCAAGATTGCACAGATGTGAAGCGACACCAAGGCGGTCTTTTGCGAATGATGTCTTGGGCTCTGCGAGCCCTCCAAAGGGTCCCCCGCTTTGCCTTCGTTGTTCTGGGAGCTTGAGTGAGATGTCAAGGACGGCATTAAAGCCCCAGCCAGCCCCATCCGGGCTCAAGATTAGTCAGACTTGTTTTACACCTGGCAAGCAGTCAGGAAAGGAAAAATGGGCCCCTGGGGGCTTACAGCAAGCGCCAAGGATAATTCTGCTTTTTGTCACTCCCTGTCATGACAAGCATAGCAGCAAACTGACTTGGCAGGTATTGTCTTGAGTGCTCGGCTGTTGGACAACTCAGCTGGCAGGTATCCTCAAGCCACCAACACCCCGGCTTAAATTATTTTGCCACTACTGTTTCTAGTGAAGTAACACACTTCTGGGGGTAACAGGCTCTTCAACTGAGGGCATACTGTCATCTATCGATATTTGGAGAGGGTTTCTGTCACGGTGGTGGGAAAATAGGTGTTGTTGCTTCCACTGGGGGTCCTTTAGAAGAACCTCCTTGGCTGTGAGCCGTTTCCTCCCTTAGCCCTGAAAATACACTGGATGTTTTGAAAATTGCTGTCATCTCATGCATGAACTTTCTCAGTCCACCAACTGAACTGTAAAGTGGTGAGGAGAGGGGTTTTAGCCCAACCATACAAGTTAAAAATATATTTTCAAAGTGATGTATATAACCTGAGCCAGGTCCCCCTCACACCCAATGCCAGCATACCAGTTCAGAGATATCTTACAACTAAAGACTATAGATTATTGAAATGCTGTGTGACTCCATCTCCCGAAAAGCCTAGAAAAACTAATGGGGTGGGGGAGAGAGAACATGTTACTGCCCAAAATATTGCAGATTGATTGTATGGGATTATTTATGGGTTGTGAAGGGCACAGGAGAGACTATTTGGGTGTCTGAGAAGTGGATGGTGGATGCTTTTAATTAGGTTTTATTGGCTTGGTTTTATGATACAAGGCTTATTGAGCATGTCCACCTCCCAAGTACCAGCTGAGGGCCAGTCCATTTGTATAATGACCCTTCCCAGGTGCAGGGTCTCCTGACGTTCGAACCTGGTCAGGTTGGCTCACAGGCTGACCTGTCCCAGCAAGCCTTTCTCACAGAGTCCAGACGGTGCAAGATGTCGTGGGCTATCCATTAACAACTCAGAGCCCTGGGGTTGTGGGGACTGTGCATGCCAGGTGATCACCTGGCGATCACCTGGAAATTCTAGCTATTTGCATTTGTAGGATCATCTTCTGGTTTATACTGACTTTGCCTTCCGGGCTGCATGGATTATGGGTAGGGATGTGTGAGGAGTCCTTTTGGGGGATGGAATCCATCGGGTCCCCTCCGCTCAACTCCCCAGACTCCAGTGGGCCGGAGGCCTTGTTCTTGGCAAGTGCTCCTAGCTTTCTTGGCTGCCCACCAGCAATTGAAACCCATGTACAAGCAGCACCCCTCTTCCATGCAGCAGAGAGCAGGAAAGAAGGATCTTGCAACCAGGTGTGCTCCAGATGTGTTGGACTGCAACCCTCATCATTTCCAGCCAACATGGCCTTGACCAACACATCTGGAGCACAGAATGGGGCCAGGTGCATCCACTCACAGCGCCCTTCTTCACCACCACTCTGCAGCGCCGGAACACCCACCTGCATTGCCCTTCGTCCGCCCATGCGGCTGTTGGCAGCCCCAGGTGGGGAAGAAGGCTGCTTCCCAGGAATAGCACCTGGCACACCTGCCCACAGCACCCCTCTTTTTCACCTACCAATGGCAGTGGCACTGGGCAGGGAAGTGTGCCAGTGGCACCACTGGGAGTCTGGGCGTGATCACAGACTTTCGCTTGGCTCAGCTTGCTTTGGGTCAAGTCAAGAGGAAACCCACATCCATGCTAGAAGGATGGATTCCACTGGGGTTCATCCCTGAAGGAGCGCCTTCTTCCCTATGCGTCCTCCCACCCCTTGAGATCTGAGGTGGAGGCCCCGCTCCAGAAGCCCTCCTTGAAGGAGATCAGGAGGGAGAGTACCTGGAGGAAGGCCTTCTCTGCGGTGGCACCCTGACTATGCTCCCCAGAGAGGTTCGCCTGGTACCAACATTGTATTCTTTTCAGCATCAGGCAAAACCCTTTTTATTTTCCCATTATTTTAATGTTCAGTGATTTTTATTGAGGTTTTAGTATATCATGGCCAGATGCTGTGGGGCTGTTCTGTTCTGTTCTGTTCTGTTCTGTTCTGTTCTGTTCTATTCATTCATTGTAAGCCATCCTAAGATGTTCTGTAGGGGACAGGATAGAAAAGCTTTTAATTAATTAATAAAATAAATAAACCCCAATTATATGCTTTCTGTATCCTTCAAGCAGATTTTGGAGTGGGAGGCGATGCATAAATGCCACCACTGTGTGTGACGAGAAAGAAATACTTTCCCCTGCATTCTTGGTTACTTTTGCATTACTCACCGTCATTCTCATCCTCGGTTGATCCCATCACCATCGCGGGGATACCAAAGACAGAGGCCAAGGCCCAGATGCAAACGTTGATGACTTTCGCCTTGTGGGGGGTGCGGATGTCCAGGGCTTTGATGGGGTGGCAGATGGCAATGTAGCGGTCGACACTCATCATGGTCAGGGTGAAGGTGCTGGTGAACATGTTGTAGTAGTCAATGGAGATGGCAATCTTGCAGAGGGCGTTCCCAAAGGGCCAGGACCCCAAGAAGGTGTCTGTGCCTTGGAAAGGCAAGGTGATCAGGCACAAGGTGTCAGCCAGGGCCAGGTTAAAGATGTAAATGTTGGTGGCAGTCTTCATCTTGGTGAACCTAGGCCAGAGCAAAAGGTAAGGTACCAAGCAGCAGGGCAGACACGAAATGCCGCACAGTTCTGAACTTCGGGGCCCTGTTCCCAATCATTTCCAAATTCTAAATGCGGCCTCAGTTTCAAATTTTGCTTTATAAACTCCCATCCTGATGAAAGGCAAAGCGATGATTTTATGAATTTGCCTAGTTCAGTCATTTGTGTAACCACAGCTCCCCCATCATTCGTAACTAGCAATGCTTGGAGAATGGTTTTGATACAGGAAAGATGTAATTTTTTGCACGTTTCAGAAGAAAAAAAGGAGGCCTACAGCATGGCTGGCTGAGTCATGCTAGGACCCCCAGGCCTTTTCGCCTGTCCAAACATGCATACGATTGTGTCTTCAAAGTTCTTTGCATGGTTTCCACCAGCTAACATAAGACGATATGGACATAAAAGGAGTCCTGCTACCTCTGAAGGCGCATCTCCTACATCCTGTTCTGATGTTGGACAACCAGATGCCTGCCAAGCAGGAGGCGACCACCATGGTAGAGTCCCACCCACATTCCCCAGCAACTAGCATACAGACTCAACTGTCCCTTGATGTCGGAGCCTATATCTGGTAGACATTAACAGCCTTGCTCTTTGTGAATTGGTCCAAACCCATCCGAGTAGGTGGCCATTGCTGCCTCTTGAAGGAGAGAATGCAAACCCAAGTTTAAGGCTGTGCTGTGTGAGAAAGGACTTCTCTTTATTTGTCCTGAATCTCTTACCCTTCAGCTTCATGGGGGGACCCTGGGTTCTGGTCCATTGTCCATAGGTCAGAGTGCAGAGTGCTCAAATTTTCCCTGCTTGACTTGCCCCTGGGGCAGCCGAAAATGGATCTAACAGTAGTAAGAAAAGCTCAGGATGCAATCTCATTCATTCCAAGACACTTTCAACAGAAAATGTTTAGTCAACATCTGAGGATGTTTCCTCTTTTACTGCTCACAGTCTGCATCATGTGAATTTTAAAACTCAAATTCTGGAATCGTACTTTGAATGAGTCACCTGCAATGTTGGCAGAATTAGAATAGTTCTGGCAAGTTTCAAACATGTGAATGCATAAGCTTGCCAAACACAAATTGTTCACAATGAAATGCTGTCAGATTCTAAATCTTATTGTATAACAGCCATCTAATATGTCCGTATTGCGTATCAGTCATCCAATACAGGCAACAGCTGTGCCATTGCATGTCAGCTATGAAATGCTACCAGATACTAACACTGTTGCATGGCACCATTTAAAAAGTGAGATTTGCAGTCCTGAAACAACTGTTGAGATGTATTGAAATTTAGTTCATTTGATCATTCTATTTTTACTATAATGTAAAATGCTTTTAAGTTTAGTGTAATATGCAGTTTCTGAAATTAAAAAATATTATTTTATTTATTTTATATTATTTTATAAGAGCCAGTGTGGTGTAGTGGTTAAGAGCATGGGACTGGGACTCAGGTGATCGGGGTTCGAGTCCCCGCTTGGCCATGGAGCCAACTGGGTGACTTTGGGCCAGTCACAGACTCTCAGCCCAACCTACCTCACAGGGTTGTTGTTGTGGGGATAAGGTGGAGGAGGAGAATGATGTAAGCTGCCTTGAGCCCTTTGTAGGAAAAAGGCAGGATATAAATTGCGGGGGCGGGGGGGGGATAGGTTCATTTGGTTGAATTCTAACTGAACAATTCAATACTAATTTGGAATTCTGTGTGTTTGGGTTTTGCAGTCTTTTTATATGAGACTGGCCACACAGTAAATCTGATAAGATCTGAGGAGAGACATTTGTAGCCCAATGGATTTTATGGAGGTGCAATCAAAATTCACCACTAAAAGTTAATGTCACTATAATGACACATATCGCAGGTAGTTATTTGGATAAAAAAGATAAATACCTGAAATTTTGGTCCCTAACCTTTATTTAATATTTCACTCTTTGATCGCTGAAATTGATTTGACATTTTTTAAATGGCAAAGAATTTTCTTATGGGTTCCTATAAGAAAAGGAACATGAACTGGGTTCCTAGGTTGCCAGTTGGTTCAAGAATGCCACATAACATCTGAGTTTGATTGGACTTCTGTGTGAGAGAGAGAGACGAGAGAGAATATTTGGCCTTGGAAGGTATTTAATGAAAAGGAGAGGCAGGAATTCATTGACTGCATCTTTACTTTGTAAACTGCCAGAATGGAAATGAAAAAACTAACGAAAAAGTGCTCTTTAATTCATCTTGTCACTTGTGTTTGGCACCAATTACAAACAAGACCAGCACAGGGACCTCTCCTCCATTGTAAATCAGAGATACAAAGCTTGGATCAAAGGCCAAATCGTTGCCACCCCCCACCCCGATGCTGCACCCATTTTCCTGGCTTCACCCACTTTCCCACAACCAGCAATCTCTGTTGTTTTCCAAGCTCTTCCTGATTTTTTTCTCATTCTAAAAGGCTGAAATTCTTCCAAGGCTTAATTAATGTCCATAAATAACTTCCTGTTTGGATTATTGTAATGCGCTCTATGTGGGGCTGCCCTTGAAGATGGTCCGGATACTTCAGTTGGTTCAGAATAGAGCTGCCAGGATGTTAACGGGGACCGGCAGGAATTCACATATAACGTCTGTCCTCCATCTGGCAGCCAATTGAAGTCCAGGCCCAATTTAAGGTGCTGGTGATGACCTATAAAGCCCTAAACGGCTTGGGTCCTGGATACCTGAAGGAGCGCCTTCTTCCCTATGCGTCCTCCCACCCCTTGAGATCTGAGGTGGAGGTCCTGCTCCGGGAGCCCTCCTTGAAGGAGACCAGGAGGGAGAGTACCCGGAGGAGGGCCTTCTCTGCGGTGGCACCCCAGCTATGGAATACAATTCCCAGAGAGGTTCACCTGGTGCCGACTTTATATTCTTTTTGGCATCAGGTGAAAACCTTTTTATTTTCCTGTCATTTTAATGTTTAATTGATTTTAAGTGGGGTTTTAGTATTTCAATTGTCGGATGCTGTGGTGTTTTGTTTTATTCTACTCATTTTATTGTAAGCCATTCGGAGATGCTAATGGGGGACAGGATAAAAAAGCTATAAACAAACAAACAAACAAACAAATAAGAGCTCTCGACTGAAATGTGTTGGTATGTGGGGATATTTTGCCCCTACCTTTTTTGCCTTCAGCCTCACCCATCACTGCAATACGATCCTTCTTCAAAATGGAATCTAGCTTTTGGCTGATAGAGATTTGGCTACCGTAGATGGCATCCCACACACCCAACAGTATTTAGGTCTGCAAGGTACCATAGGAAATGTACTTCCCATGGCTCCCAAAATGTCTTGTTGAGGCCTCAAGAGCTGCAGAGGCTCCATTTCCCAAGGATTCGGATGGACAGACATTGCCATGCACGACTGTATCAACATCTGGACTGACTGGAAATCTACCATGAGCCCTCTGTTCAAGAACTGCTCAGAGGGCTTTGGATGGCAAGGCAAGAGGATGGAAGTTGATGTAAGGAGACCTCAACATGGGACCAGTCTTTTTCGCGTAGTGCACAAACCTTGAAGGAAGCTGGGCCCAATCTGCAATACATTTAAGTTGAAAGTGGAAAGTTCACCTTCCCAATCAGAGAATAAACTGGAACAGCGCTAGCTTGAACTTTATCGGCAATCCACTTATCTGCGCAGCTGTGCACCACTTTGGGGTTTTCTTAGAAAAAGAGCTTAAATTAAGCAATTAAAAGACAGTTTCACTGCTCCGGTTCCCAAAAAGAAATATTATTTGGGAACAGTTGAAGGATCGAAGGCTGAGAAGTCTCCTCTTTGTGCTTGCTACTAATTTGTATCATAGAACCTCAGGTAGCAGCCTTCCCAGCAAGAAACCTGCCATCACCAGTGGGGCGGCTAAGAAGCCACGGGGGAGAACAGGAGAGCCACTCTGGTGGCAGGGAGTACCACCAGAATGGGCAGATGAGCAAAGTCCGAGATTGCTAGGATTCCTCCCTCTGCCCAAACAAGAAAACTGCGCAAATCAAGCATCAAATGAGAGTGGACTTTGTACACATCCCTTCAAATATGACCAAATGTTCTAGCTGGCATAACTTCCCTCTGCAGATCAATGCAGGGCTGATTCGATCTGCAGGAGTTTTTTTCTCATAAGTTTGGACATTTGCACACCAACTCACTGGGATGTTGCACAAACTGAACGTGAGCACGCTTCCAGCCTTTTGCAACCCTTTCCAACCGGTGTGGGCTCGTGCTCACATTTGGGCTCTGACACAGGGCCTGCTTGCCCATTTTGTGAGTAGGAATGACATTCACATATATTCCAAAGGAGGGCAGTGCACCCGCACGGCTGTCGCCCCCTGGTGGAAAGTTCTGCTGGTGCAGAAGTCCCACAGGCAGAGTTCTACCAGAAAGAGGACATGAGGCCAAAATCTGGTAGTGCAGGATGTGTGTGCGCTGAGGCTTAGCATGGATCTGCAGGACCCAGGGCCCTGGGGATGGCCACATATTGCCTGGCACAATATCAGCCTTGAGACTGCTGCAAATAGTCAACTGGAGGGGAAATGAACCATCTTTTTGCCGTCCTCCAGCTGGAAGGGCAGTGGGTGGAGTGGATGCCTTGCCAGGAAACCTTTCCAACCCCACACAGTCAAGGGATTGCTCTGTTCCTCTGGAGTACACATATCCAGTACATTCCCAGAGCCAGTGTGGTGTAGTGGTTAAGAGCATCACACTGGGACTCAGGAGATCTAGGTTCTAGTCCCTGTTAAACCATGGAGCCAACCAGGTGACTTTGGGCCAGTCACAGACTCTCAGTCCAACCTGCATGCCAGATGGAGCCAGGGGTCAGACTAGATGGCTTGGGAGGCCCCTGCTGACTTGCTCTGTTTCTCTGTTTCTATGCTTCTACCTCACAGGATTGTTGTTGTGAGGATATGATTGTGAGGAACAGAAAGTTTAGTATAGGCTAGGCTGGAAGTAGAGTTGGAAGGGGCCTGTAAGGCCATGGAGTCTGACCTC